CCCCAAAACCCCAAAACCCCAAAACCCCTAGATGTTTGCAGGAAATTAGATGTTTTGGGATAATGAGATATAGAATTATTAATTTTTTTGAATAATTACGTTATTTAAATGGGAACTTGTATGTCTAAGAAGAATGTGCATCAGCCTATCGTAAATATCCAATTATTTTTCCTGCCCATTTACAATCATTCTTTAGCCCTCCAAAAAGGTAGGGAAAAACCCAGCAAAAGATGCAACCCTCCTGCTTGATTAATGGAACGAGAGACATATAGAAATCCTCAAGAATAAATTTCAGGAGAGTCTAGCTATAACTCGCGATAAAAAGATCAAAATACAGGGTCTTGACAAAGCTGCTTTCATGAAAGTCTTTGCAGATCTCAAAACGTTTCCCAAAGTAAGTTAATCTCTCATTTTATAACTTCAATGTGCTCAAATAACTGTCTAGCAAGTGGCTGAGTCAGCATTTAAGTTGTTTGACAGAGATCGCTCAGGATTTATTGACTTCAGAGAATTCTGCTGTGGCCTCTCCATTATCTGTCTAAGTTCGAACAATGAAAAGATTAGATTCATATTCGATTTATTCGACCTCGACAGAGATGGATACCTGAACAAGGCAGAGCTGAGAACGCTACTTGAAACCTCAGTTATGAGCTTCAGGAAATTTTGCCAAGGTCCAGGAGAATAAATTGACAAGCAATGGATAGATCACAATATCAACTTCATGTTCAATTAGTCTAATCATCCATCCTCTTCCATTACTTCAGTTAGTGAATCAAGGATAGATTTTACGACATTTAGACAGTGGGCTGAATCTAACTTAAATATGCATCATTTGCTGCATACTTTTGAGCTTGTGCCTACACCAGTCCGAGAAAGGAAGACAATTATAGATATCTTGTAAAATTATGAAAGAAAGCATGGAGACACAATGTATGCACTCAGTTACAGATGGTGGGATATGTGGAAATCCTATACAAGTCAGCACTTCTCCACAATTGACTAGCTTCAATTCATTGGCCAGATTAAGAACAAGGTGTCAGAGGAAAGTGAGACTCCAGATTTCATCAAGAATTTCCTTAATGCCTATTATGAAGAACAAAAATAATCTGATATTAATGAGGCTATCTAGAAAAATGAACTTGTCGATTACAAGGAATAGATATTGAAAAGAGAGTATTCGAAAATCAAGCTTACTCCAAGGTCAGAGCATGGCATTAACCAGTCAATGTTTGCAGATAAATCCAAACTAGGGCTAGATGAACAGTGCGACCTTGAAAATAGCATTATTATGGAATCTGCCAGAAAGATGAAGAGTCTCAAAGGCCAGAGTCTCTTGAATATGAAACTTAAAGATAAGCTGCACTCAAAGCGTAGCTCTAACTATAGCAGTTCTTTCCACTAGCGAGATGATCTGGTAGATAAGAATAAGAATGAGATTACTGATGGCAAAGGCTACCAAAGCAATCTACAGAACTATCTCCGTGGCTCCTACATCTAAACTCAACTAGATTCCCCAATAGAATTGCACAAAAAAGATGCTAATAAATATAACTCTTAGTCAGTACTCTAACTAAAGAAGGAAAGTTCTAGCAATGTTGGTAGGATCAAGCAAATTTAAGCCAAAAGTGAACATGATAATTCAATGGTACCTATCAGTTCATAGCAAAGTCAAGATGATGAAAATGACAACTTGAGATTCAGCTAGACATTTAAGCAGCCTCACTAAGCAGAGAGACCTTAGGAAATTGATAACTCAGACATCGAAGGAGAGCATCCTGGCCAATTAAAACCAAACTTGATAGTAAAATTAAAAATCTCTTCATTTATGATAATTAGCTGCACAGAGACTTTGTCATAATCCCAGAAGTTGCTTGGAAATACTTATTCCAGTGGTATGGAGGGGGGCCATCTTTCCCAAGGAAAGTGCTTATTAACAATAGCGTGACAACTATTGAGTTGTATCCTCCTCTGGTCACATCAGTTTTAGCAGGGCCTGACGGGCATGCTGTCCAAGGCTCGGCAAGATCTCTTTTTGTGAGTATCGCTATGAAGTTAAGCGAAGTATTTCTAAAGATATGCGAGAGCTTCAACTACATATCTACAAGAGATACAAGGCTCTGGTTCAAAGAGGGTGGCAATGAGTGGAAACTAAGTAATCTAGTATTTGAATTATGTTTAATTAGTTGAAAAGGATGAACTTGAGAAGACCTTGGAGGAGTTTATAGTTAAGGACGGTGATGTGTTTATGGTGGAGGTTAAATTTGGTGAAAAATGGCCTAGAGACTTCGAGAGCAATAATGTCTCTGACAGAGATTGGAGGAACTTCGAGGTGGGAGATAAAATTGATGTCTTCGATGTAAGTGCATTGCTCACTAATATATGATTATAGAATAACGACTGGAAAATTGGAAGAGTTGTAAGGGTGTTTAAGGACAAGTTGAAGATCCACTTGGAAAACGAAAGTTGGAAAAATGATCTCATCATCCCTAAGGACTCGTGTAAGTACCAATTAATATATGACATCTGTAATAGAATGTATTGAAAGGTATGGTAAGCATACATTTGAGATGCATTTCAAGAGTTCAAATCAGCTGTCAGGAGAAGTTATACCCTCTGATGTAGTTGGTCTCGATAATATTGGCAATACTTGCTATATGAATGCAGTGTTACAAGCTTTATTCCACACACCATTATTGAAGGAATTTTACCTTTCTAAATCTTTCATCAATCAGATCAACACCAAGAAGATAGTTAAGTCGATAGAGCTATCAAGCAATAATAACAACAACTATAGTAACAACGACCCTAAGCGAAGCTCAAATGCCTCATAATAGCTAGTAAATACCAATCAATAGTAAATCTAATAGCAACAGCAGTAGCAATAGATAGTCAGTCTGGCTTAGTCATTTGGCGAACTCTTCTTAGAGGCTTTCCAAGGCAAGCAGAAAGTTCAGCCTATTGCCTTCAAAAAGATTGTAAGTCAGGAGCTGCCAATGTTTTTCGGTAATTAGTAGCACGATAGTTAGGAATTTCTGAGCTTCCTGCTTGATAAAATCAGTGAGGATATGAACCGAGTTGATGACGATGATGAGGATAATCACGGTAGTGGCAGAGGTTAATTAAGTCTACACTAAAACTCAATAGTCTAGTTCCCTGGGTAGACTTAATACCAGTAGCAACCCAATCATGTCAGCATTGAAGCAAAGTCTAGTAACTAGCTGCTCCCTCAGCTCACACCTAATAATAATATGAGTTCTATGCTCTCAGGAATAGTAACTCCTACCTAGGACTTGCAAACTATCTAAGACCCTCTAAGATAGCTGCAAATGGCTACTCCTTTTGACTAGGACAACAACACAAACAGAAATAGTCACAGCAACCTTCAAGACGGAGGCACTGGTGGTATCTAAATCCTAATAGATCAGAGAAGGTCAGTCAACAATACTCCTAATTTAGGTTAGAACTTAGATATTCAACTAGATAATCCTATATATACTCCTACAACTAAAACGGCTAATAACAGTTCTATAAAGATGCATCAACCAGAAATTAATATAAAGAACGCAAAGCTTTAGTCTCAAGCATCAATGAAAATAGCGATGACTGCTGGAGAATAGATATATAATTCATTCTTTTAGCCTATAGTCAGTGGCAACAGATCCAATCGGGGTTCTCCCTAAAAGGATAAGGACTCCAAGAAAGACGACATGTCTTTAGCCATTCCTCAGTAAAATAACTAGTACTCTAATTTGAGTAATCACAGATCTGGCTAGGTGCCATCACTAGTCAACTTCAAGCAAGGCACCTCACCTTTGCTATTGAATCCGAATATCTCTGAAGCTGAAAGAAAGGCCATTGAAGCTTGGGAAAACGAAATGAAGATACAGAACTCTGCTATTTCAGATCTATTCGTAGGCCAGCAATCTACTACTGTTCAATGCTAAAGCTGTAGAAATAGAACCTATGCTTTTGAAAACTTCTACACTCTTAGTCTACCACTTCCATATAACTCTAAAGCCATATTCTATATAACTGTGATGAAGAGATCTTCGTAGCATGTGATCACCCCTATTGTTAAGTATGGAATCTAAATTGATAAGCATGCTAAATTGGTAAGACTTGGATTTGAGTAAATTTTGATTATAGCTTGATTTAATAACTGAGATTGAATAACTGTCAAGACTAAGTGCCAATAAGATGCTGATTGTGGAAGTAGGCAACAACAAAATATATAGAATCTATGATGATTACTCTATCAATCTGAATCAAATATACAGAAGGACGAATGAACTATTTGTCTATGAGCATCTGACAAGGATACATGACATCGCCATTCAGCCTAGGAAATTACTTCCATAGGTAAGAAATTCATTTATCCTGATCAACATTCAACAATTAAAATATTATTGAACACCAGCAGAATAATAAATTTTTATATAGAAAGGGCAAAATAAATCGTTCAAAACATTATCAGAAATAAAGCAAGGACAGATTATAGACGCTCAAGATTTGTACGGCAAATGGTATGTAGGCATTGTAGTAGATCGTGATTTTGACTTCGACAACTAGCAGTATCAGGTAAAGGTGCATTTCTACGAATTCCCAGAACGTTGGGATGAATGGTACAATACTGAAAAGATAAGCAGATTAGCACCATTTGGTAGTCAAGCTGAAGAACCGAAGGATAAGGTGTATAGCATGCCTATGACTCACAGAAAAGTAGTCGTCAATGAACACACCAACAGACAAGAGTATCAGAATATAGGTCTGCCCTTCTACATATCCTTTGGCACCTGGTATACTTGGGAGGAAGCATACATTGAGATCATTAACTAAGCCTGCCGCTATATTAAGAATGTAAGCACCAATGAATTCTAATCAATATTAAGATGAGGATTCATGGAACTAAGTCATAGAGGTCTATACAGGAGGAAAATGAGAACATATCTGAGGATGATCTTGGTGAGGAGAAGTCATCATCCAAGCTCCTTAACTATGACAGTTCTTAATTTACTAAGAAAATGCTGGATGTGGACAAGAAGGGAAAGCTGATTCTTGCATAAGATGAGCCCTCAATCAGGATCCCTAAGACTGTTGATACTAAGACTACTCCTAAGCCAATTAGTTCAAAGGATTTATTTGATTCATCGACACCAACTAAAGATCTTAAGGAAAATGATATCCAGTTGATTATAGATAAAAGCGCAGGGTCAAGAGCAATCAATTCTGCCAATCATTCCTAATCTATGAAGAGCCAAACAAGCAGGTCTAAGCAATAATCTCAAATCTAAAAGACCTATAATGATGGGATAATTTAGACTCTCGGTGATGATTTGCTATCTAGCAATCGCAGAGGTACCTTTGACGGAATGAGCTTGAAACGTCTTCCTTTCAAAGTATGCATCTTGGATGGTGACACTCATCTCTGCATCCTATGCCTATTTAAGAACAAATATCTTGAGCCTAAAAGTAAGGAACAGCCAGCTTAAGTAACTTGTCGTGGGTGTGATATGTACCAGTCAAGTGATAAAGTTAAATGGATACTTGGCTGCTTCAAGCGTTTCGAGATCTGCATTGACTGGGATGAGCCAACACTTTACAAGACGCCGCTAATCTCCTCTGACATGTCTTGTCTAAAACTTCTCCAGCAAGAAAAGGAGATCAAACTGGGATTCCCCTTGTGTCAAAGTTTAGACCTTTACACCAAGAAAGAGCAGATAGATGACTACCACTGTGACAATTGCAAGAAAACAACTGTAGCAATAATGGAGACTAAAATCTCTCGCGCTCCTGATATTCTGATCATTCATCTGAAGAGATTCTCCTATCAAGCAGGCTATCTGGAGAAGATAGAGGACTTGGTGACCTTCCCCATTAACAACCTGGACTTATCAAACTATGTGGCTAACTTCAAGAAGAAGAGCAACATCTATCAGTATGATCTGTATGCTGTGGTCAATCACATTATGTTCCACACAACTGGTGGCCACTACAACTCCTATATCCTTAATGAATAGCAGCCTCTCAATCAGATAATGAATGGCCCAGCTAACATTGGAATGAACAAGAAGATAGATATATGGCTGAAATGCAATGACTAGAATATAACCAGAATAGATAAGCAAGAGATCATATCGAAGGACGCATACATTCTGTTCTATAAGAGAAGAGAGTTCACTGCCTCTAATATCATTAACTTCACCGCTCCTCATCAGTTTTGAATTTGAAGGCAATTGCAATAAATATTAATTAGGAATAAGTAATATTAGTGAATGAATAATGACCACTAGCCGCCTTGTTTTATTCTGAATTATTATTAATTCTATTCATAAATCTTAATTTCATACTATTATTATCTTAATTATGATTTTCCCAAATTAATAATCATGGGGTTTTGGGGTTTTGGGGTTTTGGGG